TAGTTTGCGGTAATGTAAAGAGAGTGATCAAGAAAGTTATACCGCTGTGTAGATGAAGGAACCAATTAATCACAAGAATAAATAACAATGAAGACCAATCACCTCGGAATCAATGATGAACACAATGATTTTTTACCGAGGTTCACTTGCTTGCCGGCAAGCTAGTCCTCGTTGTGGCGATTCACTCACTTGCAGGTTCACGCGCTAATTGGCTTCACACGCCAAACCCTCAATAGGGTGCCGCACAACCAACACAAGATGAGGATCACACAAGCCACGAGCAATCCACTAGAGTACCTTTTGGCGCTCCGCCGGGGAAAGGTCAAGAACCCCTCACAATCACAACGATCGGAGCCGGAGACAATCACCGCCCTCCGCTCAACGATCCTCGCTGCCCCAAGCCGTCTAGGTGGCGGCAACCACCAAGAGTAACAAGCGAAACCCACAGCGAAACACGAACACCAAGTGCCTCTAGATGCAATCACTCAAGCAATGCACTTGGATTCACTCCCAATCTCACTATGATGATAAATCAATGATGGAGATGAGTGGGAGGGCTTTGGCTAAGCTCACAAGGTTGCTATGTCAATGGAAATGGCCAAAGATGTGAGCTATAGCCGGCCATGGGGCTTAAATATAAGCCCCCACGAAATATAGCCGTTATACCCCTTCACTGGGCATAACGCGGGCTGACCGGACGCTCCGGTCAGTTGACCGGACGCTGAGCCCCCAGCGTCCGGTCGCTCGTAGTCAGCCACGTGTCTGACTCCAACGGTCATCTGTCGTGCCCGAACGGACGCTCTGGTCAGTTGACCGGACGCTGGACCCTCAGCGTCCAGTCATTTCCAGTAAGGGTCTAGAACCGATTTTTATCGACTGGACGTGTCCGGTCATGCCTGACCGGACACAACCTAGCGTCCGGTGCTTAATCCTAAGCGCTGTGCAGACCGACCACTTGACCGGACGTAGCCCTTTAGCGTCCAGTCGCCGAGCGACCCAGCGTCCGGTCAATAGACCGACGCCAGCATCTCACTGTTACACATGACCGGACGCGCCGGTCCCTCAGAGGTCCAGCGTCCGGTCACTGTATAACCAGCGACACTAACTCGTTTTTACTTCTAACTTCTCCACCCTTGCTCAAATGTGCTAACCACCAAGTGTATCACCTTGTGCACATGTGTTAGCATATTTTCACAAATATTTTCAAGGGTGTTAGCACTTCACTAGATCCTAAATGCATATGCAATGAATTAGAGCATCTAGTGGCACTTTGATAACCGCATTCCGATATGAGTTTCACCCTTCTTAATAGTACGGCTATCAACCCTAAATACGATCACACTCTCTAAGTGTCTTGATCACCAAAACAAAATAGCTCCTATGGTTTATACCTTTGCCTTGAGCTTTTTGTTTTTCTCTTTCTTCTTTCTAAGTCCGAGCACTTGATCATTACCATGGCATCATCTTCATCATGCTATGATCTTTGTTTGCTTCACAACTTGGAGTGTGCTATCTATCTCATGATCACTTGATAAACTAGGTTAGCACCTAGGGTTTCATCAATTCACCAAAACCAAACTAGAGTTTTCAAGGTTCTTGTGTTAGTGTTCTTAGTAGAGAGGAAAAAAATATTCTAAGACATGCCTGTGAACCTCACCTTAATCTTGATGATGTTTAGCTCCAATCTTAGGCTTATTTCCCTCAGACACTCGCTCCTCCTCTTGCAGGTTTTGGTTGCTTCAAAAGTGCTTCTAGAGTTGCTTGCAAGCACTTGGGGTCTCTGGTGACTTCCTCTCCTGGTCAGCCCCCCCTTCTCACCCCATGTCGCTCTCCATGGTGATCAAGTTACCATCTTGTGCTGGTGGAAGAGTTGGTGTTTTTCTCAAGCAAAGAGTGCACGAGGTGCTTCTCTGGAGTTCTCAACCCTGAGTGGGTAGCTGGTCTAGAACTGACTGACTGCTACTTCGATGGAGGCAAGGCCCTTTCACCTATCCTGAGCCCCTCCTCTACTACTACTACTCTAGCTCTCCTAAAATATTTTAATCTCAGTCATGGCTTAGTCAAAGAAATTCACTATGTTGGTGAGCTACTGCTAGTTGATTGGTTGGTTCCTTTCTAGAAGGGCATGGCTACACCTCATGCGTACCAACTGTGAATTGTAGGCATAGTGATAAGTGTACTAGAGTGTACTTAAATATGCAAAAGAATGCTAGCTTGAATTCTTTTGTTGAGTGAACTTGATCTACAAGTATACCAAACACCATTAGGAATTAATAATTGATTTATGCATTTTAACATCAAAGTGTACTAAATTGCCCAGCTTGTTGTAATTGATTTCCATTTACTGTGCACTTATCTATGATTAACTGTGAGCTAAAACGGTGGGTCGTTACATCAGCCTCCCTAAAAGCTCCATCAACATTCAGCTTCAGCATGCCACTTGGGGGTCTCTCCCATCGTGGACTCTGCCTGCTATGCCCTGGAGCTTCAGTTGTTAGCGCCTGCAATTGTTTGATCTCCGTGGCTTTACGCCCACTTAAAGCTGCAATTTCAGCAGCTGTTCTTTGCTTTCCCCCCTCCCTGACACAGTTTCGTTCATACCACCAATTATTCAGAATTAATACGGCTCGCAACTGTAGCTCGTCATCTATTTTCAGCAGCTTTTCTGTCACTTCCTTTGCATCACAGCAGGCCACCAGTTTGTCTTATGGCCTCCATACCAGCGTTGCGCCATACTGCTTTCACTAGCTTGCATTTCAGGAACAGATGGCTCCCATCTTCGCCCGCACGATTGCACATATAGCAGCGATCATCCTCAACTTTTATACCTCGTCGCTTGAGGTTTGAACGCAGTGCTGGGAAGGAGGAATATACATGAAGTCGGCGGAGAGGATTAATTCGCTATATGGCCACGACACGATGGCTACTTCCCCGGTTTGCCGTGACGAAGCAGGCAGAGGCAGGCATGGAAATTCAGACCTGGCGTCAGTAATAAAATCAATAATCATTGGCACCGTTCCTGGCCTAATGAATAATTATTAGCGCGGGCGTTTACGAGAAGCAGAAGATGATTTGGACGTGGTCGGTCTCAGTCGCGCCCCGAGCCTTGACAAAACAGGCTTTTCTAGCTAGCCCGGCCAATGCAGTTCTCAACCCAAAATGCTTGCAAGTCACGGACGATGAGATCACTGAGAAGTGAGAACAATAACGTTTTCTAAATTGTATTTTAAATAAACCGTTCTTGACTTGACGAGCTGACTCCGGCCAGCAGACTCAGACACTCAGTGCTGGTATAATACCCGAAGCGTCGCATCAAATCGTTCAGACACAGCCTACGGTTTGAACCTGGTTAAAGCATGAGACGACACAAATGCATCTCGTTAAAGCATACGGTTTGAACCTGGTTTTCTTTTTAGAGTTCATTGAACCTGGTTTTCAGAGACTCGACAGCCTCGTTTGAACGGATCGTGTGCAGTTAGGTTGGAATACATGGTTCTTTAACCAGTCTGACAAAAGCAGAGGGCTTCAAAGTTCAGGTGGTTCCTTTTATTTAAACTGTAGTAAAAATCCAGGGCAGCAAAGCAAGGGAACAGAAACTCACTGATCGTTTTGCTGCATGACGACACCGGTAAATTTTGGAAGTCTTAGAGTTCAAGAAACGATTGTTTGAGGCCACGTATATATCATGGAATGATCTTTACAGCTGAATTAAGTCAAGATGTCAAATTTACCTGAATAATATCTAGAATGATCTTTTTCAGTTCATGTACCCCTCACCTCACCTCCCAACACGCACACACACACAACATCATCCAATTTAACATTGGAGATCTGGTCTGAGTTCTCATAAGAAGCAAGTTAAAAATCTTTATATACATGTCATCAGCCATGGGTGACATGCGGATGGTCTTCAGAGCAAGAAGGAAAGTCTTTACTGTCCAGATTTAGAACAAAAACACCAACTTGACTTTCGATAAGCTAGTAGCGCTCCTGAAATTCAGATCAACTGCAACAGTCCCAAGCACAAACAAATCCACTTTGATCTTTTCATTTAGACATATGTGTCTCCTATATTTGCTTGCACCAACAGGCAACAGAAGTGCATGCCTCAGGAATGCATCCAGTGGAGAAAAACTGTATCGTCAGTTAAGCAAGGCATGGAATCAGCAGTAGCGTAAGAACAAACAGGGATAACAAATGGAGGAGACATGTCGTTGCAGATGCCCAGGTTGTTTAATATTCTTGCACGGGCACTGTCACTATCTGATTGAGGATTTGCAAAGTACTAGTACTAGTTTAGGAATTAGCAAGAGCATTCACTTAAAAGGTTGCAAAACTGTTTGGAACTGAGATTTGGGAACAGAATTTTGGTTCTAATCTGAACTGCTTACGGCAAGCTTCGGTTTCAAATACGAGAGGATTGTCACCGTTGATTTTAGCAAATTACAAATGTGCTGCAAATTATTTGAAGTATAAACCATATTTGAAGTACTTTTCATGGCATAATCTGACAGTTTTTCACTTCCTCAAAAGAACGCACTTTCCCTTTAGTCGCCAAGATATTTATTTTGAAAGTTCAGAACAATTACAGCATTGATTAGGTGAAGATAGAAATGGTACTTTCACTTTAGTCGCCAGGATATTTATTTTGAAAATTCAGAACAATTACAGCGTTAATTTGCTACAGATATAGGTGGTGACAACGATTGCAGTAAAAAAGAAGCGACAGAATTATGTACAAAGTGCATAATGCAAGCCACAAATGACGCCACGTAGCTTGCAAGCTGAGCAGAATATATTAAAACTGTCACGCATGACTACCATCCCAAAGGTTCTCGGGTTCAGAATTTGTAATAATAACATTAATCGTCCGCAATGGAAGCAGCTCAGACTAGAAAAACAAACATGTTCCTCTGATATCTCCAACAAAGCTGAAGAAAAACAAAATACTATCTGGTAATACAATTCCATTTCCCTCGACAGTTGACACCAGCAGCAGCTCAGGCCTTGAGCTTGCCGTAGAACCTCTGCTTCTCGTCTGTGGTCTGGAAGCGCCCATGCCCAAACTTGGACGAGGTGTCGATGAACTTGAGCTTGATATCCTCCAGCGCCAGCCGAGAGGTCTGCTTCAGCAGAGATTGGCGGAGAGTCACCACCCTCTTCTTGGGACCGACGCAGCAACCCTTGATCATCAGGTAGTCGCCTTTGACGATACCATAGTGGGGGAATCCACCCATGGGAGTGATGTCCTTCTCAGTCCTGTAAACAATCAGCATTTAGTAATCAGCACAGATACTTGTAACTGAAAGAACACATTCAAGTTTGAGAATCATGTAGCTGCAGTGAATCAACAAAAAAGAATACCTGTCAAACTCAGTTGAGGCATCATGGGTTTCCTGTCCAGCCTTGCCGATCTTGTAAACCTTCTTGTTCATCTCAGTACGGTGATGGTATCCATTCTGACCAGCACGGGCAACTGTGTACGACACCCTAGCAGGATGCCAGGCACCGATACAGGCTACCTTGCGGAGACCCCTGTGGGTCTTACGGGGAAGCCGGGTAACGCCCCAACGAGTGACCACACCCTCATACCCCTTACCCTTGGTGACTCCAATGATGTCAATCATCTCATCCTTCTGGAACACAGCATCAACAGGGACTTCCTTCTCAAAGAATTTGTAACCATAGTCCACCTTGTCTGCTATAGTGCCACCGTTCACCTGGATCTCCATAAGGTGAGCCTTCTTCTGCTTCAAACCCTTCATCTTTTTAATCTGAAATCAGAAAAAAAAAGCATTGGAAGTGTGAGCAGAGCACAATTGAAAATAAAAGACTGCGCTACAATGACAAGTAGATTCAAACCTGAGTGTGGGCGATAACACGTATAACTGAAGCATACTTCTTCATCTTCTCAAGCTGCAACTGGATTTCTTTCTTGCCTGCGTCGCTGTCATATTTGAGGGCATACTTGGTGAAGGCCTTCTTCTTGCTCTTGCACCAGTTCTTGTAGAACCTTCTCCTCACTTCTTCGCTAAGGTGCTGGGCCCAGACAGAATTGAGGGTCCGCAGGCCACGGGGGGTCTTCACATATGCCACAAGTCCGACAATGACAAGGGGAGGGGTCTCAATGATAGTCACAGCCTCACAAGTTTCCTTCTTGTGGAGCTCTGCACAAGACCGACAGTGTTATTACTCTCATGCACAACCCATAGCACTCCTTAATCTTGTTGTTGCCTATTTATATTAGCCACAAAAGCAACAGTAATTGTCTCCTCAATAGAGAACATGCTGTAAACATTGCACCCTATGACAATGATTGAACTTACTGGAGCCAGGCTTCTCGACCTCACGCACAATGTGTGTCATTCCAGCCTTGTAGCCAACGAAGGCAGTGAGGTGGCAGGGCTTCTTTGGGTCATCCCTCGGGAAGGACTTCACTGCAGGAAAAAAAAAACGGAAATAAGCACATCAGATACATATACGATGGGTTAGTGTAATTCACTGAGTTGCACAAATGCAGAGTACTCCACTAAACTGGAAATATATGTATGTGTATACTTAAAATTGGAACCACTTGTGACAATAACTTATGAACAGCTTCATAATTTAGTGTTTCAACATTGGGATGCAAACTTGACAAAACTTCAACCCCCGATTTTAATGTTTGGAGCACACAAACAACCACAGTACCAGACAATGTAAATCAGCAAGATCAATCATGCACTTACAAAACTGTACGTCAGCCAGTCTATTGCACAAGAAATGTCCGAAAACTACCAATCATTTACAATCCAGAGAGTGCTAGCACACAGCAAACGCACGAGTTGGGCTACTATGACCACTCTAGCAGCTATTACAGAAACTGCATAACCAGTAAACGCGCAGCCCGTTGCTAACTAGGCAGATCAGCAGCGGCAAGCGATGGGCAAAAGGTAACTAGTCAAATGAATCGGTGCTGCAACACGTACCCTTTCCGCGGTGGCGGGAAGATCGCTTCCTGGGTAGGAAGCCGAGGGACCCGTGCCTCGGGTGCTCGAATTTACGGTGCGACATCCTCGCCGGCCTCCTTCCTTGCCTGCAGGAATCAACACCGATAAAACAATTAGATCCACGATCAGGGCACGGCAATTTCCAGAATCTGAAGAAGGCCTAAGCGGGTTGCACGGATTCGGGCAATGAAATGGCAGACGAACAACGCGAAATCGAGACGAAGTGAAGGGGCGTTGCTTGGTTACCTGAGGGGAGCGCGGGCGGCGGCGTCGCTGGCTGGGCGGAGGCGGAGCGGGTAAACCCTAGGGAGTGGATTTATAGGTGGCTGCGAGTGGGAGTGTTTGGCTCACTCGGACGAAAATGCCCCTGGGCCTAGGGCTGCGGCCTGCGGGAACAAGACGCCCCGCACAAGCGAAAGGGCTACTGGGCCAGGTTGCCTCTGTTGGTGTCAACCGATCCCATCAGTTTGGGCTGGGCTCGAGCCCAATGTCTTTCTTTGCTAAAGGTAAATTTATGTTTTTATATAGTCCCCAAACCAGAAATGAAACGTGACAAGAAAAAAAAGCACTATAGATTTTGGGTGAAGAAGTGGGCAAGTGGCAGATGACTTTGGCAAAACCTATATTCTGATAAAAAAAATGCAGCAAAGCACCTTTCTCGAGACTATTGTTGTGATGAATTGTTCAACTGTTCGCTTGAATTTATCAGCCCGGCTTATTAGTCATGGTACATTGTTTTTCTCTCACAGCAAAACAGCATAAGCCGACTTATCAGCCAGCATGGTTTCCTTTTTTGGATAAAGATGGTAATAGATTCCATAAAAAGAAGAAGAATGTAATTCTAGTCTGGCCTAAATCAAACAACTTAAGTTTGCTAAGTTTATGATAATTAGTATCAATATTTATGATTCCAAATAGATATACTATAAAATATATTTGATGATAAATCTAATGATACTTATTTGATATATCAATCAATATTGAAAATATTTTTATAAATTTAGTTAAAATTAAAAGAGCGTTGCATTCTTGTTTGAATTGGAGGGAGTGGTTGTTTTCACTCATTTAACAAGTCATCATCCTGTTGGAAAAGCATCGTGCCTGTCTGCCTCCATTGCTGACAAGGGTCCATCATTTTGCCCCGTTTACGTGTCCTTAAACCCGGTTTGATCCGCTTATTTTTTTCATCCGAAACAGTATTTTTCTCTCACAAACTCCTCCAACATTCCTCCAAACTATCCAGATTCCTACAGAATTCAGACAAGCGAACATGCCCTTTCAATTCACGGTCCTCACGCTAATCTCCCGCGCGTGTTTGAGTCAATTATCCCGGCCTGCACTTGCGAGGGATTTCAAAGGGCTGATAAGGAGATCCACGCTTGGACACTCACAAATGTGTCAACTGGCCGCTACATGCAGCACAGTGCTCTCAACTAGCCAGCTATTTACTCGAGATTGGCTGTCCATTTCAGAGTTTCTATATACATTTTTTTCTGCATTTTTTAAGTGATAACACACTGTGCCTTGTTTTCTAGAGGTCTTTGCTTACCATTGGTCGTAAAAACAGCTCAACTCCAAAACGAGATGAAAAGGATTTTCTCTATGCATGTTCGCACGGTCCAAGTACATCTTCCATGCTTTCGTGATGAAAGATCTTGCTTGACACCTTTTTCTCAAGGTGGATATGTTCAGACATACGTGTTGTCTTTAAATTAAAAAAAAGAGAGATTTTGGATTCAATCATTGAATAAGGCAGCCTCAAACTAGGCAACATTGAATCAGTGGCGGCTCTCGAATTTTTGAAGGGTCGCCGTGAAAGCTTGAACGGGCCGTGCTTCTCGTAGCACATTGTCTGTAAAAAATCACTCTTGTTTAGCTAAACAATAAAAATTTACATAGATTATGGCAGTAATGAGAAATTGTATCTTCATTTATACTGGAAGCTAAAAAGAAAGTTTCTCTGTTCCTCCATCACAACTAAGAATGATGAGTAGAATTATACCAAATCAAGAAGCTATTCACCTTACTCCATCAGAAAATCAAGAAGCTAGATCTAAGAATGATGAGTAGAATTATACCAAACATGCCCTAAATCAAACGGAGTTTTCTAGAGTTTCATCATGCACGACAAATCATTAGTTAGGAATAGGCGGGGTGGTAATGGGCCATCCATGATCTGTTTTACAATCCAAACCAGCCCTTAATTAGTTTTAGCTGAAAAAGAACCATATGTAAATTCAGTCTCACTCTTTTTTGACCCAGCCCTTAAGATTTGTAGGCAAGAAATCTGGGCCCATTGGTAGGCCTTATTCGTTTTTGTGCTCTTTCTGATCTAGTCGTCGGAACTACCCTTGCCCACAAAAAGGATGCACACAGTTTTTTTTAGGGAAAAATGCATATAGTTTATCTCATAGGAATTATATGTGAGTATATGTTTATTTAAACTTTGCAGGTACACTTCAGTTGTACAAGTCATAAACCAGGAATATATACAATATATGCTCCAAACATAATAGCATGATTCATTATTCTGTAATTGTTCTTGCTGATAGCTAGTTATAGTGTGCAGTTTTTAAAACAACTACATATTATGGAGTCTATTGAACTCAACATTATGACGTGAAACATTTTATTTAAACAATGTATTTAAAATTTTTAATGTTCATTTTATCTCCTCCCCTCTTTGCTAACAGTAATTTTCTTTCCCCTTAAATGCACAAACGTTAACGTTTTGTTTTAGATGGAAAATTGATTTCCAAATAGGAGTCTACGGAGATTGATTGTTCGATCAGTATACACTTGACTAACCATGAGCTGTATCTGTACTCGTATACAATTTTGTTTCATCTTCACTGTTACAACTAGAATCCATGTCACAAACTCATTCGTTAACATGGTATTAAATTTGTTAGTTATTACTTTGAATTAAATTTTCAATAATTATTTATGTGTACCTTTTCATTTTTAAACCTTATTTCAGTTCTTATGATTATGAATTGTAGCTTTCTAGATTCTTACATGGATTTGTTTTATTTCATGTGGAAATCGGAATACAATTTCCTCTTTTTTATCCTAAATTTTAGGTATTAATCAGTTATATTTAACTCCCACGTTACTTTAGGTACATACCTTCTTCCAATCAAGTACACTCACTTTGACTTTCTTGTACATTCATTTTGCTATGCATCTAGATATAAGGCTATGTTCTTGCAGTTCTACTTTAGCGATCTACTTTTCAACGAATGAACAGTGTTTTCTTCTCACAACAAATCAGCATAAGTCAAATTTCAGGGAAACGAACACGGATTATGTTTAGATACATAGCAAAATGGATGAACCAAAAAGTCAAAGCGACTTGTAATTTAGAATGGAGGGAGTAGAAATCAAGAACATTTTTTCCCATTACTTGTACTCAAAATTTATCTATTTAATTCTTACATTTGTGATGGATTATCTATTTTGTTTCTTAATTAATCAATGAGAAAAATTAACAGAACTATTTTCCTTTAATTTACTTAGAGTTTAAGCTATTAAATCATCTATATTTTCATGGGCTATTTCTTCTTTAGATAATTTGGCTTCCCGATCCAGTAAGAATTTGGGATACTAATATTTCGCCACACGCCATCTCGTCTGACGACTGATGAGTGATGAACCCAAAATGATGCACGTTCGCAACTTGGATCCTTTGCAAATAGAATGCTAGTGTGTACTGTGGGGCGAGGCAACAATCAAATTGCGTTGCCACGTATGTTCTGCTGATAGGCCGAAGGCCGGGATGAATCTGGACTGGACCAGGTCGTAAGCGGCGGCTAATTTTGTAATATGAAGCTAGGTGTTTGGAAATTTTTTAAAATCGATCCGCATACCCGCCGGGTCTGTCTGGATTGTGAAAGTATCCCCCTTTCCAATCGCTTTTGATGATCCTCCACATGCGTAGCGTAGCCCCGCCGCACTCGCACGGAAACAGGGTAAACCGTATAAAAACTGGGTCCGTTGCAGTGCAACTGGCTAGGGCCGTTCGTTCGTTCAAAGACCCGCGTTTTCTCCGTCAACGAAACGCGGCTCAAGATGGCACGACACGAACACGATCGATCGTGATGTCCCAATCATCTGACATGCATTCCCCTATCGCCTCGCACTCGCATCGCACGTTGACCGCTCGCCCTCCGCTCCGCTGTGTATATATATATATATATATATATGCCCAACTCTTGAAGCGAAGCAATCACGCACACTGTCGTCGATTGACACTTTCAGCTGCTTGCACTACCCCTACCCGTCAAAAGATCCCAGCGCGGCGCTCCTCTGATCGGCCTCCGTTGTGCGTCGCCCCTGCGGCATGATCTGGAAGCGGAAGACCTCTGGGCGAGGCGGCAGCTGCAGTGGCAGGGACGAGATGCGGGAGCGGCTGATCCCGGCCGCCGCGGGCGGCGGCTGCGCGGCGGGGTGCGTGGCGGTGCTGGTGGGCGGGAGCGAGGAGCCGGAGCGGGTGGTCGTGGACGTTCGCGCGCTGGCGCAGCCCTGCGTGCGGGCGCTGCTGGAGGCTGCGCAGCGGGAGTTCGGCTTCGACCAGAAGGGCGTGCTCCGGATCCCCTGCGCCGCCGACGAGTTCCGCCGGGCCGTCGCCGCCGGAGGCCACCGGTGCAGACGGTAGGGAGCTCGAAAACGATCGAGCGCGCGCCTGGTGGTGCTGGTGGTGAGTCGATCGATGGTGTACATACATGTGTACAAAGGTGCATGCATGGAGTTGTTCATACTTCATAGCATGTTCAGTTCCTCATGCTTAACATAGCGTAGAACAGGATGTATACATGCTGAGTTTGCAGTTGTTGAATTTTGAGAAGAGGTCCAGTTTTGGTTTTGAAAAGATGCAAGTGCTGCTCAGGTTGGGAGTAGTTTATACCAATGATAATAATAAGTTTTTTTTAGCATAACCGGAGCTTTATATTAGCCATGAGCGGTATTACAATCAGCATCAGCGATAACTCGTAATCCCGGTGGAGTTATATGCCACTCAACCACCGGGTTATCACGAGAAACCAACTTAGCACACTCATGAGC